CACACACACAAACACATCCATAAACACACTTACACGCACACATTGAGTGCCCTTGATGATGATAATAAGGGCATTTAGGGGCTGTCCCTGGGGACAGGCAGGTGACTGAGGGGTAATTTTCACCCTGAAAAGACCAATGATTGGCTCTGATTGTGATAATGATCACCATTATTGCCATTACAGCGTGAAATGACTCAGAGAGAAGGAGAATTTTAAAAAGATTCACTGGGGTTTTTTGTACCTTTTTTTTGTCCTGTGGCTGGAATGAGTTTTGAGAAGAAAGGAATATGAGACATCCAGGTTATTAAGTCTGCTTTATATAAACCATAATTCCACTATATCAAAGGACACTAAATTGGTGAGATGAGGCCAGTGAGGGACTGAAAAGTGAAATATTATCCTTGGGTGTAGCAAATCATAGTCACAGCCCAGAAGTCATAGAGTAGTCCAGCGCATTTACAAAAGCTAAAAATCATCAGCAGAAATATTTACACAAGAAAAATGCCTCCTTGGTTATTTTTCTTCATCTTTCATATTTTCTTTTTCAATTTCTCTTTGTCTCTTTGTTTTTGTTCTCTGTCACTCAGCCTCTGCATTGTGTGTGCTTCATGATGTTGCTTTGCTGCGTGCTTTTCTGTGCGCACCCTGCATCATCCCCTCATCTGCCTTTGTTGTCCTCTGTCACACTTCTCTTCATTGCATTGTTTCCCTAAATCTCACTCTGCTCGCAGCCTTTATACCTCCCCCTTTCTACCAAACTACAAAAAACAACCTCAGCCCTTGTGCAGATAGCTATTTGAGGGGAGGGGAAAAAAACAGGGAGGAATCGAAGAAACGTGGAGATAACGCTGCTTCTAATTTGGGTGATGGGTGAAGCTACAGCGATGGAGGTGGAGGAGCGTTGTGTAACTGGCCTCATTAGAAGCGGGGTAAACAGGGATCAGCGTTAAGGGTGCGTGTGGGAAGCAGTGAAATGTCACTTAGCAAAGAGAGCAAAAGCTCAGGCCTCCTTTCTGTGACACATTTGACCCACTTTAGCTTCTCCAGGAGTTTTGTTGGTGGCTGTCCTTGGAGATAACAGTCGTTTTATCTTTTATTAACTGACAGAGAGGTCAGGCACATATCAAGCTTTAAAAGCGTTGGCTCATTTCAAGAGTGTGAAGATTACTTCTTTTTTTGTTGTTTTTGAATCTTTTCTCTTTCATCTTTTTAATGAAATAATGAAATTCATAGGCCTAGGCTCTCCCTCATTTTTTCTATATTCTGGGGCCAACAGAGGCTGTTATCTCTGTTGGCTGTTATCTCTTTAAAGCACTCCCTCTCCCTGTCCTTCTGTCTCTCACACACACAAACACACACACACACACACACACACACACACAACACACACACACACAACACACACACACACACACACACACACACACACACCAACACACACACACACAGATTCAGCACATCAGCCCCATTCAGAGTCGCCGCTGAGATCGGCACCATTGACGATTATCCATCAGAGCTTTGTGTGCTAATTAAAACACTGAGTGATTTTAGGAGGCATTTGAATATGAATGTTTGCTGGTTGACTCATATCGGCCACTTTTTAATTAGCCCAGTCAGCACAAGCTCCACTTTTGTGCTCTGCAGATGGAATTATAGAAGGACTTATGAATAATATAGACACACAATGAATATCACTGTGTGTGTTTTGGGGGAGTCTGTGGACTCTCTGCCTTACGAGTGCATAAGAATGCTCAGTGTCTCTGAATGATGTGCTGCATTCATTACTCGGTGTTATGATTGTCAGGTTCACCTATGAGATCGCCCCGGTGTTTGTGTTGATGGAACAGCTGACTCTGAAGAAAATGAGAGAGATGATTGGTTGGCCAAACGGAGAGGGTGACGGCCTCTTTTCCCCAGGTCGGTCTGTAAATCACACTACCCATGTATAGCCAATATTCATATTACTGTATGACTTTTGGTCCAAATATTCCACGTGGATGTAGACTGCACAGACTGTGTGCTGCTGTCCAGGGTACTGATGTGTGTGCGGTGTGCTTAACAGGGGGTGCTATCTCCAACATGTACAGTGTGATGATCGCACGGTACAAGTATTTCCCAGAGGTGAAGACCAAGGGCATGTCTGCTGCTCCCCGCCTTGTCCTTTTCACATCTGAGCATGTAAGTGACCACACACACACACACACACACACACACACACACAAGCACTATCACACACACACACACACACACACACACACACACACACACACACACACACACACACACACAGTAATCTCAGGTAATCTAACAATGCAGATAAGCTGCTTCATTGACTGTAGATTAATCAAAGTCAGGGAATAAGCAGTAGGTCTGTTTAAATCAGGGCACTGGCTGTTTCAATTCATTCATTATTTTAGTTTTTTTGTATTTTGAATTTGACAACTTGACAGAGAGCAGGAAAAATGTCAAGCAACAATGAGCTCTCAAAATATCCCCCCTTTTTGAATTCAAAGGTATTTCATTGATAGCTTGGTCTGCTATGTGTCCCCACAGAGCCACTACTCCATAAAGAAGGCTGGAGCTGCGCTGGGCTTCGGCACTGACAACGTGATCCTGCTCAGCACGGATGAGAGGTTTGTAATCGTTGCAGAAATCATCTGATGAATACTGTATGTGCAACATGTAGATCCACAGCGATTCCATGCTGCTCTGCTCGTTTTCAGAGGGAGAGTCATTCCTGCGGATTTGGAAGCCAAAATCCTCGACGCTAAACAGAAGGTCAGGAGTTTTTTTTCCCCTTTTATTTTTTTTAATATAATTGCATCTCCATGTACTTTTATCTCTAACCACATTTCTTTTCATCTATCCTGGGTACTACATCTGCAGGGTTATGTGCCATTGTTTGTGAATGCAACAGCTGGTTCAACTGTGTATGGAGCATTTGACCCCATCAATGAGATTGCTGACATTTGTGAGAAGTATAACTTGTGGCTCCATGTTGATGTGAGTAGTTTGCAGTAGTGATGATAGCAGGAGCTTCAGTGCGTCATCCACTCCTTTAACAGTACTGTTTTATCTCGTTAGGGTGCGTGGGGTGGTGGACTGCTGATGTCTAGGAAGCATCGCCATAAGCTTAATGGAATTGAGAGGTGAGCACATGGGAACTGATAAGCTCCTGTGTGTTGTTATTTAAAAGAAACCTCAGTGTGCTAACGATAGCACTGACAACATGTTTTGCAGGGCCAACTCTGTCACATGGAACCCACACAAGATGATGGGTGTGCCTCTGCAGTGTTCAGCAATCCTGGTCAGAGAAAAGGTACAGGAACACACACACACACACACACACACACACACACACACACACACACACACCAAGGAACCCCAACACCACCCCCACACCAAAACCAAACACACACACACCACAACCACCACACACACACACAGTATCTTGTTCTATTATTTCCTTAAAAATTTATGATGACAAGTTTTAGGGACTTTTTTAATCCAAACGTTGGAGCAGCTCGCCACTTGTCATTATAAAGTCCACATATATATACATATGTAAAGCTATTGATGTTCTTAATTACTTCTGTTTATGTTTGTAAAGGGGTAGTAGTACAGGCAGCACACCAGCAAACATGTTTCATGCTTTTCTTTGAGTTAAAAGAATCGAATCATTTATGAAGACAAGTTATCGATCTGCAGTTAGAACACTGTGTAATAAAAGATAACTTGTACATCAACATGCTGTATATCTGAAAGATAACACAGAGACAGAATAAGACAATATGGAGGCTTTCATTCAGTAAGGTTAGTTTGACACAGACATGTAGCAAAAGCTTAAACATTTCCATTACACTTTGGGTTTTTTTTTCTTCATTATAACCTATGAAAAATACAGTTCTATGAATATCCATATTGCACATTCATACTCATCAGCTTTTCTTGGTACATGTAGTCTGACATGTCTAAATGATGACAGCCTGGGCAGGAGACCTGTGAAAGGAAATGTTAACAGTTTGTGCACTTTGTCTGTAGGGAATCCTAGCAGGCTGCAACTCCATGTGCGCTGGCTACCTCTTCCAACCAGACAAACAATACGACGTTACATATGACACAGGGGACAAGGCCATCCAGTGTGGCCGGCATGTGGACATCTTTAAATTCTGGCTCATGTGGAAAGCCAAGGTGAGCCGGGTGGACAGACGGGTACATACATGCTGGCTAAAAAAGACAGAAAAGCATCTCCAAGCCAATAAGAACCTTCATGGCTTTGTTAGTGCAATGCTATTTAGTGCTATACTGAGTGTTCTTAACTGTAATTATTGGCTTCTCTTTTCCCCTGCAGGGCACCACTGGGTTTGAGCAGCACATTGACAAGTGTTTGGATCTGTCTCAGTACCTATACAACAAGATCAAGAACAGGGAGGGATATGAGATGGTGTTTGACGGAGTGGTGAGCTTCCCTCTTTTTTTATTTGTCCTTTACCAATGTCCAGTTTTAATCACCAGGGTTAATTCACTGCTGTTTAACAGAATTTTGATGTATGTAAATGCAAATAAATAAATAAAAACCCACCGTGATCTGTATCTGACGTGTTCATTTCTGCCTGCAGCCGCAGCACACCAATGTTTGCTTCTGGTACATTCCACCCAGCCTGAGAGGCATGCCAGATGGAGATGAGAGGCGAGAAAAACTCCACAGGGTACAACTATAATCACACTATAAGTTCCACCACGATCAGCTTCAAACAGCCAATAAAAGATGTTCACATTATTAGATTTCTTTCAGGAATACAAGGCTCTGTTTTGTCATCTTTTTCACTCCAACAGGTGGCGCCAAAGATCAAGGCCATGATGATGGAGTCAGGGACCACCATGGTGGGCTACCAGCCTCAGGGCAATAAAGTAAACTTCTTCAGAATGGTCGTCTCCAATCCTTCGGTCACCCAGTCTGACATCGACTTCCTCATCGATGAGATCGAGAGGCTCGCCCACGACCTGTAGACCTCACAGCCATCGCTGCTCCAGGGCCTTCCCGGAGTCTGTGATCGATTTTACTGCAAAAGCGAACGCCAGAGTGAAACATTCACAGTGCTGCAGTCCGAGAAATAATAGGACACGTTTTAGGTTCTTTCTTTCCGGTCTGCCTTTGCCTGCAGCACTCTAAATGTTTTCACCGCTGGAAAGAAACGAGCAATGAGAGAGCCTCTGGAGTTTCTTACTAGCTCTGGCCCACATAGGTACTTCTATAGAAAAAAAAATATATATATAATTACTATCTAAAGTTTCCTTTAAAAGCAAATGTGCTCTAATGTCTGTGTGTGCAATTGAGCCTTGTAATGCACAAGTGTGTGAAAGAGAGTGTGTGTGTGTGTGTGCAGTCTTTTAATGTTTGTCTTTTAATGTCTTGTGTGTGTGCCACAGCAAATGTGTGTGTGAGTGAGTGTGGTAAATTAATGAAAAATAAGGGGGGAAAGAACAGATCGAAGTATTACAAGTATCATCAAGTTATTCTGCTGTATCATACATGTGCTGCACAATATGGTGGTGCTTTCAGCTGTACATATGTTTGATCTCAGCACTCTGACCTGTTTCCCCTGAACCCGGTGTCCAAAGCCCCGCAACGGCGTATTTTAGGCTCGCACTGTGTTAAAAATAAGCTAACGTGCTCAGCATAGTTACAGGTTGTGTTAAGTGTCAAGCTGTTACACGACTTCGGACCATCCGACAGAGCTACAGTCTGCAATAGTTTCCCTCGTAGAAGATCCCCATTTAAAGCTATCGTAGGTCTGTGACAACCTTTAAGTTGTAAAACTCTGGCTCGTTGTCCGTTCCCTGCAGTCACATCATGCCCATTTGTGTTTAAACCAATGTTAATATATTCATATTTGATGATATGGGAATGAGACAAAATATTTATTGCATTTCCGCAGGTGATTGCAGATTCAGGTATTTTATTGTACATGTATCTTTATGCGTGTTACGCTGTAACACAGTGAACAGAGTAAAGTTTATTTAAAGTGATATCGTCAGCCAAAGAGAGAATCGGGAACGCAGCAATCCATCGTCCTTCATGTATAACTTCTTATAGACTAGGTGTTTGTAAAACGTTACCTGTTGACCTTTTACTGCGATGCAATCTCTATAAGTGTGTTTCTTTTTGTGATTGTCAGTCTTTTTGACCGAATGTTTTGAGATGATTGACTGGCCTTCTGATGAGATTAAGAATGAAAGCTCTATAATCCTCTGGCCACAGCGCCGGTCTTTTATTTTAGTGAGACGCACAAGGATGTGAGAATGTACTCTCTCGTTGAGACTGGGAAGAACGAAGAATTGCGTCTGTCTGAATCCTAATGCATTACTATAATTATAATTATATTAATTGTTACACATATTACTTGTATTCTCAGTGTGATGGGAGCTCAATGGAATATCTTGTACAAAGGTACCTGTTAGTGTCTTTGCACATGTTCACCTTACTTTCCTCCATTGTAAATGGATGCGTTTTAGTATAAGAGTTATGTTAACAGAGTATTTATTAGGGACCATATGTGAATGGCACAACTGCATAAATCATATTTAAAGTAATCTGTGTGTGTGTAATGTGACAAGTAACTCTTGTATGTGAAGCTCTCTAAGGGAATGTTTCCCTGGCAAATTTTCAGTAGGCACTTTAACAGAATCATAACATCTTTAACAAGATATTTAATAAAGTCAATATAAAGAGAACATGAAACTGTGTGGCTTATTGAAAAAGTAAAATAAAGAACACCCTGAAAAATGACATTTCATTTGTGTCCCTACTCCAAAGTATCCCATTCTCCCAACAAACTGCCTTTATCAGCAGCTACACACACACACACACACACATAGAGTATATATTATTGCCTCTCTGCCTAATCATCCTCCAGAAGCTTTGTTTGGCCTCCAGCTGTGTGTCGGATTGGCTGTGAAACCCTTCTCTCCAGCTCCTTCTCATCTTTATTCTTTTCTTGCTCTTTGCATCACTTTTCCCTCCTCTCTTATACTCATTTTGCTTTAAAAGAAAATCCTTCCACATTTCTACTTTCTATGCCTTTTATCAAGCTACGATTTAGTCTGATTCAGTCTATTTAAGGCCCCATTTCATGAAGAAACAAATGCAATGCTTCCGGTGTTTCATAACCTCTGAATAGAGCACGTAAAAAAACCGAGAGGAGAAACTCCGGAGTGAAGCTGCACTTATTCATGGAGATGTGCTCCCGGCGCCCTCTGGTGGTGACTCTGTGCCGGTGTTGTGCCAAAAAATGCTTGTATGCCAAAAAATGATTTCTGGTATTTGCCAAAAAATGATTGCTCGTATTTAAACTGCTATAAGTAACTTGTTGGGCTATAATATGTGAAATATATATCAAATGCATTCCTCATGGGTGACATAAAGTAATCTTGAGCCACGAACAACATTCGTGTAAAAACGTTGAAGCCGCAATCAGTTTTTGGCAGTGACGTTTATATAACCTTTATTTATGCAGTTAAAAAAAAAAATCTCATTTACATTAAAAATGTCTTTTGTAAGAGTAAGTTGGCCAAGACAACAGCAGAAATGGCAGCAAATATTACAATAGTTCAGTAAAAAATATTTTAAGTGGGGATAAAGGACCGGATTGGTTATAATGTAAGTACAATAAAGATACTTGAAAAACAGATAATTTTTTAATTCTATATATAACCCCTTTGTAAACCCTGTTCACCGAAGTCTATTTACCAACATACGTAAAGGTAATACATATAAAAAATACACAGAAACATTGGAAATCACTTTTTGCCACAACACACAGCACATGATAATGATACCTTATGAAAAGGGCTTCTAATAGTGCTCCTTCTAATTGAAGGAATTTCAATATATACAAATAAAAACATAAGTATGAGAATGCTTAGGCCCTAGAGTTAGACTAACTCATAACCCTACTTATATAGAAGGAAGCTTTTACTAGGTTTTACATTAGCATTTGCATGACTCTGGCTCGTGCCAGTTCAACTGGTTTCACTAAATGTGCTGGTATGTATTACAGGAGAAAGACAGATAGCATCTAACAGGCAAGGCATCAGCATTCTGTTCAAATTAAAGCTTTAAGAGTTTCTCACTGCAAGGCGGCTGTTGTGAATGGAAGTGTCACTTATTAAGTCTCACATCTTTCAGCAGGAAGTATGACACAACAGAGTGAGTGGTTTGAACAGGAAACAGCATTATCTGTTATGATTTAAAAGCAACAATGTGCAGTGTTAAAAGGAGACGCACTGTCTTTCAGGGAGAAACATTATGTCAATATTTTTGACTACTGAGCCACCATAAATTATTAGGTGGCAAGTGCTAAAATAAGCTCAGATGAGCAAGCATCACTGCCACGATCAACTTTAAGCTATAAAAAATACCGACAGTAAAAGATAAAAGCAAGTCAGTTATGTGGATCTCACCACTAGCCTGTAGTAAGGCAATAATGTAAGCTAAAGTCAATAAAGCACTCCTCCTTCCAAAGCAAAAGCACTGCCCTCTGCCCTGTAAAGGCTGGGAAATAAAAAGCTTCATTATACACTGCAATTCAAAGCAGCTCAGTGTAACAATAGAAAAGTAGCTTCAGGGGTAAAGACTGACCTCACGTTTTAGCCCATGTATTCATGTTAATGCAGAAATGCAAAACTACATTAGAAGTAAATTCATGATGTAATTAAAATATGTTTATTAACAGTTTTGCACGATAACATAAACCAAAAGAAGCCACACATGCATGAATATGTAAACCTGCATATAAAGTGAAATAACCAATGAACAAAACAACAACAATATAACATAAAAAGATTATTACAGCACCGTGCATTACCACTGTATTTATCCACAGAGTGTCACTGCATGCGCAAAGTAAGAATTAAAAGAAGTCTTCATGTAATTTAGAGGAGGCTCCCAGTTTATATGAAATTTACTAGCAGAGCCATTTAGAAAACATCTAGCTCTGTTCTAATTATGACTAATTATGACAGTGCATGTCAGATTTATTGTGTATGAGATAGAGGAGCCTTGCAATAAGATTACATGTCTTTCTATAAGAGAGAAACAGGGAATAACCTTCTTCACATGGGCGGGGAGCATGAAGCTATTTACAGCTCTACCAAAAATGGCGATTGAGGGTGATGGGAGGAAATGTTATGGCCAAGCTTGTGGCATGCATACAGCCTCCTTTGATCTTAAGTGGGCTGAACAAGGAAAAAAAAAACCTGTCTGCCACTGTAAAGACGTTTAACTACATATTTAGTCATATTTAATATTAAAAAGTGCAATTTCAACAGTGCATCTCAGTTTTTCTGCACGAAGAAGAAATGCTGTAAATGAACGAAATCTGTCAGCACAAATCAATAAATGAGTAAAATTACAGAAAAAATTCTGTTAGCTCATTGCCCAGGTGAGTAATTCACATTCATTCACAAAAAACGTGTTTTAAACATCTTTATTCACCTATTGATTAATTACTTTGGTGCAGTATGAATGGCGGTGGAGGAGGTCTTAATCAGTAACATCCATTGGATTGGATGACTGGCCCCCCGGGCGCTATGTTTGACACCCCTGGTGTACAGAACCATGAGTGGACTGAATGATGGACGTGTGAAGAACATGTGAATGATTAGAGCTGAGGATTGTTTACATCTGTGGGATCTGTGTTTGAAGATATTCTAGTCAAGTTTGCTCTCAAGAAGCAGCAACTGTGTCTTGGGGATATGGAAGATTAGTGACAGAGCTAATATGAACTATAATTAAGAACTTTACAAAGTATTACAAAATATGCCTTGATAGATATAGGAACAAACAGCAAAACTCAGTCTATTTTATTTAAATATTTATTATGTGTGAGCAGGCTATACACAAATAAGATGAACTTATTTTAAATAATTCTAAATGAATCAGTGGTGTGAGTTTCTTGGTCGATTGCTTTTTTTTTCTGTTTTCTGTTTGTTTGTGGGGGGGTTTTAAGATAATGAATTTCGCAGCTTTCACTGAACCAGTGTGCACACAAAGATTTTTACAGGTACATTTTAATGATTTTTGTAGGTTAGGTGTAGTGAACTAGCAGAGCATGAACGCTGCCTGCATTTGATAAGAGACTTGTAACAGAGATAGATTATAGGAAGAAGTTCTAAATGAGGACCGGTTTCTTAACCTAGTCACACAACTTCATACAAAGGCAACTAAGAGTGCTGAATAACTCTAAATGTATGTAATTTGATTAAAATAAAATAAAATAAAATAAAATTGTAAGATTAAAAAGGCAAGATATATGTGACAGTCATTTTGCAGTTTTTTCTTTCTTTTAAATGTCAACGAATATTCGTTTAGGATTTTATGTGCTGCTGTCAGTCACTATAGAGGCTTGTTAATACTAATTAGCTATTACCGACAGGAATTTCAAAGTTTTGAAAAGGCGTTGTTTCCTGCCACGTAATGACGCATGCGCATCAGTTCGCTTGTCGTTTGGCGACGTGTACCCGGTGAGTGGAAGTACTAAGGATTCTTAACTCGCTGGGTAACAAGCGGCCTTAAACCAAACTAAAAAGGCCTTAAAAGAGCAAAAGTATGGGTGGTTCGCAGAGTGTGGAGATACCGGGAGGAGGCTCCGAAGGATACCACGTCCTCCGGGTGAGTTTGTAGCTTCTATAGCCTGCTCTTAGCTCTTAGCTTAGCCTCCGGTCTGAGGCGAAGAATTCCCGGTTGTATGTGTTGACTTGAGGCCGGGGATGACTGCCGGGGCCTCCAGTCCAGCAAACCACCACGTCTGGGAAATGTGTAGTTTAAAGCTGTGTCAACCCAACACGCATCTTTAATCACGGTGTCTGTGTATGCCTGCTGCTCAGCTAGTTAAATATGCTTGCTGAAAGCAAAGAAACCGTAGGGCTAGTTGATGCTACGTCGCTAATTTGAATGACAGCTGCCAAGCTAGTTTTAGTAATAGACCCGTTATCAGACACTTATCTTGTGCACAGGGCTTTTTACCCTGTTTACATATGCTTAGCCTTTGATTAGTCGACTAGTGAGCTAAAATGAGCATTTAGTATTTGTCGTCCAGTAGTGGTAACAGTGATATCAAAATAGCAAACACAGAGGCTAGACTTGATAGCATGAGTGTAGGATGAGTAGTATTGACCCCCATCCTGATTATGGTTTTCACACAGTGGTATTTGTATACAGGGTAACTCAGATCAAAGGCTGATTTGACGTCTTTGTATCCTAGAAGTTGCTCATTTGTAAGCCAGTTGAGTCATGACTAGTTTGCATGTTGATCAGCGCGATTTATTTGGAGGAAACTTGAATTTCAATAAAGCATCACAGCCTAGCAGCTGAGGATATCCCTCATTTTCATACAGGTTCAAGAGAACTCGCCTGGGCACCGGGCAGGGCTGGAGCCTTTCTTTGACTTCATCGTCTCCATCAACAACACCAGACTGGTGAGAAAATGCAGCACTTGCAGCTGGCAGGATGAAATAAGAACCTTATGGAAGGCTACAGTTCACCGTTGCCCCTTTCTCTACTTATGCTTGTTTTATTTTCTGCAGAACAAGGACAACGACACGTTAAAGGACTTGTTGAAAGCCCATGTCGAGAAACCAGTGAAGATGCTAGTTTACTCCTCAAAGACTCTGGAGCTGCGGGAGGCCACGGTGACCCCCAGCAACCTGTGGGGGGGTCAGGGCTTGCTCGGTGTCTCCATT